CCGACCAAAACTACACGTGCCCAACTGAAGACACACCGGTGGTTGTGCAGCAGCTCTTGAGGCTTTGTTGGCTGAAATCCATCCTGAGACGCTGCACCTCGGTACCTGTGCGCAATGCGTACGCTGCTCGCCCGCGCCGACCAAAACTACATGTTCCCATCTGAAGACAATGCCGGTGGTTCTTAAACAGAATTTGAGCTTGCTGCTGGCTCAAGTCCTTCCGTAGTAGCTGCAACACGGCTAACGCAGGCACGGCCGAATGCGCTGCGAAAAGCTGTTCCAAGCCCTCAGCGGCATCCATTTTACTTGCAAGGTTCTGAACGACTTTCGCGATTCTTCTCTTTACCTAATTCTGCGTTGTTATTATTTATTTCGTAAGAGTGTAGCTTGAGTTTAGTCGGAACAATGTGCATTATGCGCTGCGCTACCGAAAGCAGGCGCCTTATGGCTGATTCTTCGCCGACCGCTTCATCTTCCGCGGCAGTTTCACGAGCCCAGAGTTGCAAGCTACGACGTTGGCTTTCGGTGCTTTTATTTACTGCAAAGCATCGACGCAATAGTCCAGCGTGCGGCTATGGCCAACATGCTCACCTGCGCAACGCGCTGGCGCACCTGGTCCTCATCCGCCAAGAAATTTTATATACATTTGTACAGGCGCATTTTGCGAATCGCACGCGCGCATCTGCGCGGCAAAATTCGCTCCTGACTTTTGGGACGAGATGTACGGATTCTCTATTCGCGAAGTACGACCGGACACATTTGTGCGAGGGGCTGCTTAACCATCGACATGTGTCTGGGTGTAATAATGCGAGACAGGCCTCTTAGATTAATCTAACAGATTCACTCAACAGATTCACTCATCATGATCATGATAAGCGAATTCATAACCTATAATCAAATCACCTATGAATTACCTTGCATATGTGTGTATTACATACATGTACATGGCTAGCTGCAGGTAAAACTACCCATACAATCATAGCTTGCGAGCTGAAGGCCCTGGGGCAATACCTGTACACCTAGAAGCCACGGAGAACAGGAAACTCCGCACTGTCATACCCCTGGCATCTGGTGGGGCTGACGTGTGCGGCCAGGATCTGGGGCAGGGTAGGCTCCGGCAGTGCCTGAATGGCAGAGGAAGATAGGTGAGGTAGGCGTGATGGGGAGAGGAGACAGGACCCAGGCGCGGGGCAAGCGTACCGGGTGGGCAGCATCTGAGAGACCAGGAGCTTGAGACAAGTCCAGAGTGGGGATCAGGCCCACGGTGGGGGCGAGTGGGTGGGGCCCCCGAGGAACAAGGAAGGATGGAAGTAAGGAAGATGACGAGCCAAGAAGAGGCGCCCCAGGTAGGGCCGGGGGTACCCTGCCCCAGATCCTGGCCGCGCACGTCAGCCCCACTTCTGTACCCTCCACCGTACTGGATCCGCCTTCCAGCCGCCAGATCTATACCGTCGCCCTCACGAAGGCCGCCACCGTCTGCGACAACCCGTTGGCTCGTGAAACTATTGCCCGCCAGGAGGCTGCTGGCCGTGACCTCTCTGCCTGGCTGGCCACCCTGCCCCATGTCCTGCGCTGATGACGACCTGCTCGTCTACTTGGAGGCCCACTGGATCCCCAACCGTCGGGTGAACAATCCGAGTCCCAACACCGTCAACAATCATCTGGGTCTGCTCTCCGGACTGTTTAACCGCTTGGGCCACGGCAGCACTTACAACTGTGGAACCGGCATCGGCAACTCCTGCTGCTCCAGCGCCTTGTCCTCCAACAAGACTGGCTATAGTCGCCTCGCCGCCGACCGTGGCTACGAGGAGCAAGCCACCGTGCCCCTTACCCCTCGCGATTTTACCACCCTCTGGTCCGGATTCCAGGCTTCCACCACCTCCCTCGCCCGCCTGCTGTTGCTACACGATATGTTGTGCTGCCAATTTATGTGGCACACCAGCTACCGCGGCCATGACACAGGCAAACTGCGGCTACATGATTTATATGACCCGCAGGGTGGTGGTCCCTTCCGTGAAATACCGGACCCGTTCGGTGCCTACCCCTCTCCTTACGGATGGAGCAACTTGGGACCAAAACATCCAAAGGGCGCCGAGCTCCCCCTTTGGAACTGCGCCCCGGCCCTTCTCCGCGACATTGCTTCATCCGCACCCTCGCCCTCTATTGGCAGCTGTGCCATGCCCCCGATGCCCCCCCAGGGTCTGCCATCTCTGACTACCTCTTCCGTCCCACTGACCGGGGTCACCAACACTTCGTGGAGCGCCCGTTTTCCAGCAGCGCTTTGGCCATGCGAGTGGGCAAACACCTGGAGGAGGCTGGTGTTTACATCGGGCAAAGCCCTCATGGGTTTCGTCGTGGTATTATCCAGGCCACGCAGGCCGCTGGCGCCTCCCACGAGGAGCTCCACACCTTCTCCCAGATCTGCAGCCTGGAGCGCTACACCGACGCCTCTCGGCCCACTCGTGTCCCTCGCGGCTCCGGTCCCCAATCCTAGCCTCCGCCTCCTGCTGGTGCTGCCCCTCTTAGCCCTGGTGCTCATTCTTGGCTCGTCCTCCCCCCTTTCCCCACCACATCGACGGGCGGGCAGGCGGGGTTCTGACTTGTGCTTGCTTGCACAGTTATCGGGCGATCTTGCGTTGTCTGAAGTTAGCGCCTTGTTCCCAGCTAATCTTTGTAACGAACTAGGGTATCCGTCCCTGTCCTCTGCCCAGCTCTGGGCTGCGAATTCCTGCGCCACACTTGCCGTACCGCACTACAGGACGAGCACTTAATCAACATGCATTGCTTAAATGTCAGCGTGTGATCCGTACTCCCTACTAACTTTCTGTGGGGAAGGCCATTGCGTCTGCGACCACACTCCCGCGGTACCCAAACCCTTCAAAGATAACTCCGACCAGCCCCAAAACACACCGCGGAGCGGTCTCCCCTTCCCCACTCACTTCCCAGGTGGTACCCTGGGTCCTCTCGCTCACCAGCCCCTCCTCCCCTTGGCCCTTGTGACATCTGCCAGGCGTTCTTGCTGCACAGGCCGGTATTTCAGGAAACAATTAAAGTACCTCGGATGGATGTAGAGGCGCAGCTTGCCCTCCTTTCCCACCACTTGCAGGCCGTTGATAAGCGTGGGTGTAGTGCATTAGCTGGGCATTCCAGTCTCCCACCGCAGAGAGCCGTGCTTAACTCGGCTGTAATGACGCAGCTGTAGGAACTGCACTGCATGCGGCCGGTGACCTGCCATTATTATTTCCGGGTTGCAGTCCAGCATCGCGACCTGCAGCAACTCCTGCACAATAGCTAGCTTGCAGTCCAGTCCCGCTCAGGCACTATTTGTTGTCCTGGGTGTTCGCATGACACCTACTCCAGCTGGGGCCCTCCCTCCAGGTGGCCTAGCCAACGTCTCTGTCTGTGAGGGGGCAGCCTTCTTTAGCTGCCTGGAAGAACTCTCACCACACTGCTACATGTGTAAGTAGCTTTCCTGGCTGGTAGTCCTCGGGTCCGGAAGCCAAAGACGATCTCTTCTACAACTCTTGCTCATTCTGCTGATCTACTGCATCATGTCACCCTAGAGGCTGTAGCCTCTGTCCGGCCTCCTGTAGCAGCTGTATGCCTCGCTGCACGCTTCCTTGGGTGTCCCCGCTCCCCTTGCTGGTGTTCGTCCTGCGACGCCGGGTTCTCCCATTTCTGCTCCTCACTCACCCACTTGCTGCCTTCACAAGGGTCATCGTTTCACGACAGCGGTTCGTCCAGATCAGCTCCCTCCTCCTCCCGGGTGTCCGTGTGGTAGCCAGTGCTAGATCCTCCGGCTCCTTCCCCTTCTATCCCTTGCTTGATCACAGTCAACACAGTAAGCCTGGGCCTCTGGGCTTGGGTCTCCTTGCGTGGCGCCTCGTTGCAGCTAACCAGGGTGTCCATGTTGAAGGCCGGTCCTATTCCAACGTAGTTAGGCGATGAATCCGCCGCGATAGACGTTGCCTCGGCCGTGCCTCGACCTTGCCTCGGCCGTGCCTCGAGCTTGCCTCGGGTCTCTCGGCCGCGTGTCTCGGACGTGTCCTCAGGTCCAGGGATGGTGGACGACTGTACGATACTTCCGTTGGTATCGGTACATAAGACCAAAATGGTGCATGTCTTTCTATCTCTATTAAGACCAGCAAAGCGCCGGACCCCCGTTGGGTCCTATTACTGTGGCTACCATTCACTGGTATATGAGTGTCGGTCATTTCTCTCGCGACACTCTCTCGCTACGGGCCTTCCCGTGCCTCATCCCGGTCTCCCATTCTCTGGGCAACAGCCAGTGGGTATCGATCCGGCGACCTCTCGGCAGCGCAATGCGCCATTCGGGGCTCATAACCTGTTAAGACCAGCAAAGCGCCGGACCCCCGTTGGGTCCTATTACTGTGGCTACCATTCACTGATATATGAGTGTCGGTCATTTCCAACACCCCCCCGTGAGCGACACTCTCTCGCTCCGGGCCTTCCCGTGCCTCATCCCGGTCTCCCATTCTCGTGGCAACAGCCAGTGGGCATCGATCCGGCGACCTCTCGGCAGCGCAATGCGCCATTCGGGGCTCATAACCTGTTAAGACCAGCAAGAGCGCCGGACCCCCGTTGGGTCCTATTAAGTGGCTACCATTCAGTGGTTAGTGGTGAACGGCCAGAAGACTTTAGGAGATTCCTATGAAGGAATA